TTCTGCTTTCAGTGCACAGACTTAGGAATATGATTGCAGTGAATGAAAATAATATTTGTGAAAAGCCTGTTTCTCAAAGATGCTTTGTGAGAAGGGTCTTAGTGGGGTATGAAGGCATGGTGTGAGAGTTTACATTCAAACGTTCGTGCTCAGAACTACCACACTCAAATGAAAAGCTGTGAGGCTGGAGAGGAGGAGGGGGAGGAGGACTACCACAGGACAAGCAGTGGATGATCCAGTCTTCCTGGTGCAACTGCAGCTGTAGAGGCCTGTAGCAGCCCATGCTATCCTGAAGCTGACTACTGGTGGTGGCTGAAAGGAGCAGTGCCTGCTGCTGAATGAGCTACTGATGGTTTGAACCCAGTACATCTGATCTGACCCCATAAGCAAGAATCATACTTTTAGGCTAACATGGTAGGTGAAACTCTGGTTGTGTTCTCAGCGTAGCCCTTTTTCCTTTCAAAAGATTGGTCACTTTTTTAAATGGCCTCACTTAGTGCTTTGAATTTCCTGTTATTCCTTTTCTGAAGTCCACACTGTCTGTGCATGCATGCACGCAGGCACGATTGGAACAAGAAGACAGCCCACCTGGACTTCTGTGTTTGAATTCTCTCTGCAATACAGGAATAACAGCAGCTCTGCCATAAACTACTGCCAAGTACAGCCTGAGCACAATCAAAGGCTGAATAAAATGAACAAAAGTGCTCGTTCAAATAGTTCCATTCTTGGGATTGTGGCCCAGGAGAAAGGTGGAAGTTCAGTTTTAAAGCTTGCTCTAATGTGACCCCAGCGTTAGAGTTGCCAGGTCCCCCCGGCCACCTGTGGGGAATGGGGAGGTAGGGTTGCCAGATTCAGGTAGGGAAGCTCCTAAAGATTTGGGGATGGAGCCTGGGAAGGACGGGGACATCAGTGGGGCACAATGCCACAGAGTCCACCCTCCAAAGCATCCATGTTCTGCAGGAGAACTGATCTCTGTAGTCTGGAGATGAATTGTAATTCCAGGGGATCCCCTGGTCCCACCTGGAGACTGGCATCCTTATGGTTTCTTCCTTTTCCACATTGACCTGTCTTTTGTTAGATTCTTTTGGATTCTGTACACCATCTGAAACAATGAACCCTTTACTTCAACTGGGACACCTTATAGGTTCTGCCAGCCTGTGGTGATAATGGCTTTTCTCCATGCCAGGCTGAGGCTCATGGACAAGCTGGAGAATGTAACTGTTATGAGCTAGCTATAAAATATCTCCAGTTCAGCCTCTGGAGCCAAACAGGAACCATGGGCCATGAATTGTGGCCAACTCTTTCCTTCTGCCCCCCCCTCAAGAGACTGTGCCGTTCTTGAGAAAGAAAATCCAGGTTCTTGCCACGTAGCTAGAAAAGGGGCTGGGAAATCCATAAGCCCATCTTCAAAACAAATGAACTATGAGTTACCTCGTCCATTTCTGACGCTCATACCAGGCTCATCCTGTTTATTCCACAGCCCCATCTCTCTGCATCTGATCTTTCTTTGTCTCGTGTGGTTGTTTTCTGGAAGGATAATCTATTTACTACTGTTCCAAATGACTCTGTTGACCAGTATGGTCACATCGGCAATTTGCAGCCTCTGTAGTATTAAGATGGATTTTATATGGCTGCCTTGTTGACATCTTTATAATCAGCTGGGCACCTGCTGTTTTTAGTTAGTTTTAATTGCTGCTGATAAATTGCTGATTATTTATATAAGTATTTCAACTACTTATTTAATGGTGGCTTTAGTGCATTTCATAGTGAGTTGTTTTTACATTACACTGTATATGTAGTAATGCTGTAAACTGCCTTGAAGTTTTTTAATGAGGCCTATAGCTATTAGAAATGACCTAGACTGAAACCCTAGCCTCAGAAAATATTTCCCCCCACATAGTTTCATATGTCCCGGGGGGGGGGGGGGAGCTTCATGGCTTGGGAACTCTGATTTCTTTTTCATTCTTTACTTAGCAGTATGGCGGTCACACAGCTTGGTGTCCCTATTGCAGTAGAACCCCCCCGTCTTTTGTGTTGTCATATGTTATATGTTCTGGGGAGCTGAGAGGCCAATTTAGCAGAACTTATTTATTGAGTAGATTTGTATCCCATCCTTTCTCCAAAGCATATCTGTCGTTGGGCGGTCAGTCCAACTCTACCCCAGATGACCTGGAGTGGGCGCTTTGTGACGTGGTGGGCTGGCTTAGACTGAGCCGATTGAAACTGAATCCAACGAAGACGGAGGTCCTGTGCCTGAGTCGAAGCGGATCGGGGGGGGGGATCCCACTCCCGACCTTCGATGGGGCGCCGTTGGTGCCAGTGCCGAGGGTTAGGAGTTTGGGAGTGCTCCTGGATGCCGCCTTAACAATAGAGGCTCAGGTAGCAGCCACTGCCAAGGCAGCCTTTTACCATCTGCGGCTGATTAGGCAGTTGGTTCCCTTCCTCGAACGCAATGACTTGGCAACAGTGATTCATGCTATGGTCACCTTGAGATTAGACTACTGCAATGCTCTCTACTTGGGGTTGCCCTTATCTCAGATCCGGAAGCTGCTGCAGCTAGTGCAAAATATGGCGGCCAGGCTGTTGATGGGTCTCTCTATACGAGACCACATCCAGCCTGTGTTGAAGGCATTGCACTGGCTGCCAATAGCTTACCGGATTCGTTTCAAGGTGCTGGTTTTGACCTTTAAAGCCCTATATGGTCAGGGGCCTGCCTACTTGAGGGACCGCCTTTCCCCACATGTGCCCCAGAGAGCACTGAGGTCAGGGACACAGAGTCGTCTGGCTCTCCCTGGCCCGAGATACGCCAGGTTGGCCGCTACTAGAGCCAGGGCCTTTTCAGTGGCAGCTCCACACTGGTGGAATGAGCTCCCAGATAACATCAGGGCCCTGCAGGACCTTTTACAGTTCTGCAGGGCCTGTAAAACAGAGCTCTTCCACCAGGCCTTTGATTAGGAGCCGCCACTGATGAATGTGCCACCGGAACACGCTGTGGCCCATATAAAACACCAGTGAATACTGCCTCCCTTGAGGGGACTGTATATTGATGCCACCATCATCTGCACTATTGCTGTTAGATTTTATGTTAGGTAGTTGTTTATGTATATTTTATTGTATTTTAATATATTGACTGTTTTATTGCTTCTAATGTTGTTCGCCGCCTTGAACTGGTTCCCAGCAAAGTGGGATATAAATTGAAAATAATAAAGTGTCAGGGTAGCAGGCCCATTGCTACAGTGGGGCGTCTCGGGGCTGGGCCCCCCAATTTACTGCCCAGGCCTCCCGACTTTTTAAAAAAACATTGAAGAGTCTGGCTCTCTCGCAGAGCCACAGCGGTCAGCCTCCATCATGACCAAGCCGCTTTGCACCTCCTCAGCTGCTTCTTTCACCTCCAGCCCGCCTGCCCCCACCTCCTTCCCTCCGGCCCATGGCTGGGTCGCCCGCAGCTGTGAAGATGCAGCCTTGGCCTTGCCAGTTCCCATGGCCTGCAAGAGTGGTGGCAGCGGAGGCAGCGGCTGTGGGGTCAGTGCCCCAAGTGTCATGCTTGTGCCCCATTCCTCAGGCTGTGGCTGCAGAGCCCCCCAGTGGGCAGCACAGACCAGGCGGGTGGGAGGTGTGCCCTTGGGCTCCCGCAAGAATGGCACCAGTGGAGACCAGTGGAAGAAGTTGGCCACCCTGCTGCAAAAAAATTCCTTTGGAATGAGGCTTCTTACCCTTTCCCCACCCCCGCCCCCCCCCCCAGTCCTCAACCTCTGTACTTTGGGATGGGGATCACGGTGCGCACCAGCCGCATGACGCCTCCTTCAGGACTGCTAGAGAAGTCCACCAAGGTGGCTTCCAAGGCGGGGACGAGCAGGTTGGAGGAGGGGAAATGCTCCACCACTGCTCCAGCTTCCAGGAAAAGCAGCGGCAGAACTCCCTTACTCATGTTTGCAGGGGGCACAGTGACTAGGCAAGATGTTGCTGCCCAGCTGAAATCACTGGCTCCCCAAACTCAGCCATTTCTCTGCAAAATGCAGCCCGGGACAATGCACTCCAAACTGCTAGCCTTACAGTGCTGAGCACTGCCTAGCATTGCGCTTGCACCCTGCTCCCTCGGGCAGTGGCTGCTGCAGAGCCTCCCCCCAGCAGGCGGCACAGACCAGACCTGGGGGGAGGGGAAGTGCATTTCCTTCCCTGTTGGGTAAGTGCTGGGCTGCCTCCCCTCACCCGCTGCGGCAGCCCCCTCCCCCAGCATCTCTCCTTTGTGCACAAGCCAGGGGTCCAAACAAGTACTTCTTCCCTTTGCCAGCTGGACATGTCCCACCAGTCCCTGGGTCCAGCGGGGCTGCTACTTTGAACCCCGTCCCAAAGGAGGGATCTCTGGTATGGTCTTATGGGGGAGGAGCAGCTCACCGGGAGCAGGGTTGCTCACTTAGGGGGGAGTGCAGGGGCGTGTGGGTAGGTGCCCCCGACTTATCTAAAGCCCCCCCTGAATTAAAAACAAACCTAGCTACGGGCCTGCAGGGTGGTATACATTGTTCTGTGTGCCTCCTTTTTATTCTCACAAAAACCTTGTGAGGTAGGTTAGGCTGAGAGAGAGAGAGAGTGACTGGCCCACAGTCACCCAGCAAACGTCCACGGCAGGAACGGGAATTTGAACCAGGCTTTCCCAGATCCTGGGGTATCCACTGCCCTACATTGATTACAGTTATTTCTCTTCTGAACCACAAGGTGTGAGACAACAGTAGTATCCCTAGAAAAGAAGAAAGTTATTAAGGGAGCAAAAGTGCCCACCAACCCTCACACTGTTGGTTTTTCCCTGTAATTGATTAGACCTGTAGTCTCTGGTTCCTTCTC